TTTGAATTACTTTGGTAAAATTATTAACATATGGTAATCATGTAGTAATTACATATTTCAGTAATGTTCATGGTATATGGAAATATACTCGAAAACTCTTGCTGTGCAAAAAATTTCTTTGCCTCATCTAGGAGGTAACATATTTAGAAAAAGTTAGTCTTAGATTGTTACAGAAGATTGCTCGAAGAGGTGTAAGCTTTCTAGTAAATATTTTTTGCATTGTTTCCAGAGGATATAAAACAAAGACGATTAGTTAGGCTTCCTCTCGGTATTGACCACCACTCATGTTTTCAAATGTACCTGGGATTTGTTTTTACCAGGCATGGTAAGACACACAGACACAGAGATGCCTGTCATGAATGAGGAAGTTTATCTTCACAGGTCCCTGGAAATAGGAGGCACAGCACACCACACAGGCCACACAGGAAAATGTCGCATGAGCTTTCATTGTGGTTTCCACGGGATAGACAAGGCCAGGAAGTGAAGTAGGCTTAGCATTGGCTAGTTTGAATATTTTCAGTGGACTGTGGTGCTAAGGGCTGTCCATGGTTGTCTGGTACTGGCCCTGGGGTGATTGGGGCAGGGGGATGTTGGCCCTGAGCCTGAGAGCCCAATAGAGGAGGTGGTAGAGTGTGGGTTTCATTTTGGTTGGTTTGCAAATGAAAGGTGAGCTTGCAGGTGAGTCCTTTACTCTCTGTAGGAACTGCCTAGCCCTGGGAGGAGCAGTCCCTCCAGGGTCAGCACCACCCCAGATGTCAGCATCAGAATATAGAAAATTAAAAGGTGTGATTAATATAACCCACAGGACACAATTCGACCTCCTTTGCCAGCTTTGCCTGTGGGCCTCTGTCATCAGCTCCTGCCCGCGATGTGCCTGGGCTTCAGCCGGCTCCCGGTGGGCAGGTGTCAGACCTCATCTGGGAGGCTTTCCTGCTGTTGACCTCTCCCCGTCCCCTTTAAATGGTTCCTACGTTGCTGCAGTTATTCTCACTTTGTTCTCTTGCTTCTCTGACCAGTTCTTTCTCTCCCTCAACTCCTCTTCTTCAGCCGTCCTTTAAGCCCCCTGTGGTTCCATTCTCATCCATGGGTTGTTCACTTTCAAAGAGCTCCTTGTGTACTTTGCTAGTTTCGGCTATTGTCTCTGATTCCAAAATGTATCTCCTTCCCCTCTCTTTTCCTTTAGATTCATATCCACTCTCTGCTGAGTATGTCCACTACAGGAATCTCGAACTTGACCTTTCCCTGTCTGTCCCTGTGCTTTTGTCTTCAAACCTGCTCTCTGTCCTTTATTTCTGGTCAGGCAGGCTTTTGCTTCTTGGAGGCTATGCTTCTAGAGTGGTGTAAATTACTGCTGGATTTACAGCCCTCCGGGATTTTCCAGTGGCTCAGTTTGTTGATAAGGCTGCATAATCCAACAAGAACATCATTAGAGCTGGGTCCTGTGCTTTCTGCTAGCACTAATCTACTCTCATTTGGTTGTCATTCTTAATAACTGATTGCCCATAAAAATGTTATCTCAGTATAAAATGCTGTGCATCTATTTGTTTTTGAAATGTTTTAGCATTTTTATAAGAATCTCATTTGTCTTTTTAAGTTTCTAGGGGAATGATAATTTTAAATCTGGAAGGGGGATTAACTAGATTAAACCAGAAACTGAATAAATCATTTTCATGAGATCAGTCTTCAAATAAAAATGGCTAAAGTTTAAATTAAACATGAATTGGCCTGTGGTTTAAAACCAGAAAGAAATCTACTTTGCAACATGATTTTGTATTTTTTCAAGTTCTCTGTACTCGTTTAATGTTTTGTCCTTTGGTAAACATGCAGTAAAATGTTAGAATTTTGTCATAATATTTTACAACATAGGACTTAGAAAGGATTTTAGAGGTTATTTAGTTTGTCATCCTCAACTTATAAATGAACAATCCTGAAGCATCTTTGGAGTTGTCTGGCTTGACACAGAATTTTGCTTTGGTTGAGAAGGTGAAGGCAGAGACTGTCCAGACTTAGGAGAGGACTCAGTGCCCGTGGGGTACAGAGTGTGATTTGATATGACTCTATGCTTGAACTCAGATTGTTTTAAATGATTTTTATGTGGTCTTTGTAATGTCAACAGTGAAATATCACACATACTGTACATGACAAAAATATATTTTATCAAGCACCATAGTACAATTTTAGAAATAATTTAAACACCAGGTATATTAAAAATCAGGTTGCTCATTCGCACCACACACATATGTCCTCACTCTGTCAGCTCAGAGGGGCTGGGAGCAATGACATCCTAGGAGCATGGAGCATGCCTGGAGCCCAGATCTTGGTATCTAATACCATCCTACGATAAAAGCAACAAGTGCTCCTTGGAGGAATGGTTGACACTAGGACTAGGACAGGAAATAATACGGGATGAGCCTGGAGCATCTGGTAGATGCCAGAAAATAAAAAAATGGTAAAAATACAAAACAATAACAACAACAACAACAACAACAAAAACCCCCACAATGACAGGAGTATGTCAGAGAGACACAGGAGCCAACTAAAAGAGTTCCCAATGGCAAAAGCTGGAACCATCTAAGCAACAATCTAACTAGTGTTGGATTATAACCCAAAGTATGAAATAAATATCCATGAGGCCATACTGGTATAAGAAAGCGATTGAATAAGTAAGTAAATAAATAAATAGGAGAAGCGATTGAATAAGTAAGTAAATAAATAAATAGGAGGAAAGAGACAAACCTCCCCTGCAGAAGAATCTAAACAATTCAGGTAGATACTCTGCCCTCAAGGCAGGGCAGGTAACCCCCCACCTCCGAGTGTGGGCTGAGCGGAGTGACGTCCTTCCGAGGTGCAGTGTGGGGAGGGCAGAAGAGGAACCTCGCAGCCCAGCAGATGCTGCTTCCACCAGGTCATCCGGGTCAGCATCCACAGTGACTCGTCATATTGATAGTATCTGTCCGTGATGTGACGTGATGAGAAGGGCCCTCACCTCTGTGGTCTTCTTCCCAAACCGATGACCCCAGCCTAGTCAGGAGAAAAGCATCAGACAAATTCCAGCTGAGGAACATTCTACAAAATACCTGACAAAACCTTCTAGGTAATCAACCAACAAGGAAAGTCACCTGAGAAGCCGTCACAGCCCAGAGGTGTCTAAGGAGACGCGATGTCTAAATGTGATGCGATGCCCTGGATAGGAGCCTGGAACAGAAAAAGGCCATTAGGGAAAAAAAAAAAAGTCTGAATAAAGTATGCACTTTAGTGAATAATAATGTATCAGTATTTGTTTATTAATGGTGAGAAATGTGCCCTAGTAATGTAAGATGTTAGTAATGGCGGAAACGAGGCATAGAGTCTATGAGAACTCTCTGTATTACCTAATTACTCTGTACATCTCAAACTGCTCAATAATAAAAAATTCATTTGAAAAATATCATGTCGCCCTTGAAAGCAGTTGATATCTTCCGAAACATTCTGGTTTTAATTTTAAGATGCCAATTCTGTCTTTTGTAGCTATTTGTGAAGGGGTGAAGAATAAATTAAATAAATAATTTAGTTTTTCTAAAGGTATTTGGAAAATCAGAAAAACATCTAAATAATATTAGTACAACAATTTTAAGTAATCTAAATAACCTGGGATGAGTAGTGTTTTATAAATATTTTTTATTTTGAGAAGGTTTTTGGTCATGTTTTTCTTTGTCGGCAGGTCTTTACAACTTGTATCAGCCAAACTGACTAGCTGATTTCTTTCAGAAAGGATTGGAACAGAATCTCACATTACAGAATATATTTATTTACGTAAAAGACCTGAGTGCCATCATTGTCCCAGGGCCTACAGATTAAACTTGTAGTCTAAAATGCTTTTGGAAATAGAATTAAGTCTTTGAACACGCTTTAGCCCTGTTCCTGCTGCACTCGGCTGGCTCATCTCTCAGGAAGCGCAGATGCAGCTACTTGGCCAAATATCACAGGGACTATTGACACCGCAGCCACCAGTTTGCTGTGTTTGGTTTGAGAGAGGTATGGGGAAAGGGCTTCTAGAATTCCCACGTCTTCATCTTCCAGCTCCCCGTCACCCTGCCTTGTCTCACTCACCAATGCGGTGGCTCAGACTCGCCGATGGGGAGGAGACACAAGTTCGCTTCCCCATTATATTAATACTATGTTTGACCTACACAGGAGTCAATCTATAAGAAAAACATTGTAAGTTTAAATGTATAACTGCCAACAAATCTTGAGGTTCAAGTATTTTATTGATGTTTAAGTTTTCTCTTCCTCTGAAAGAGTTGTGTATGCTCCCAACTGTTTTTATAAATTGCATTTTCTGGATGGCATATTTTTAGTGAGTTCAAGGTGAAGTCTAGGATTTAGTTTGATTTTTAAATTTTAATTTATGTTAAGCACAAAGCCTTTTAAGTGAGAGAATATTATGACCTGAAGTACATTTGCATTTATTTGCTCCGGCTGCAGCGAGGAAAAAGGCCTAGAGGGAAGGGAAGTCCTGCTGGAGGCTGCTGCCCGAGTCCAGGCACAGCAGCGCCACGCGTGACTCAGCCTCGTGCCAGTGGGAAGAGACAGAGTGCATGGGTCTGGGGTGATTTTCTGAAGGTGAATTGTACAAAACTAACTCATGGGCTGGGGGTAATGGTGGGGAGAAGAGAAAGCCAAGTATAACTTCTTGATTTGGGGCCTGAGCAAGGGAGAAAGAGTGATGCCATTTACAAAACTGGGGAACACGGGGGAGAAACAGGTCTGGGGAGAGGGCAAATCTGACCTTCAGTTCTGGCCACGCACTTCCAAGGGCCTGTAAGGAGCCGTGACAGAGCCGCAGAGCAGGCAGGTGGCTCTACCAGAGTTCTGGAGCCCCAGGGAATGGATTTGGGATCAGCTACATACACTGCCATGGGTTTATGTGTTTAGTGCTTGCAGTTGTAGCGTATTAAGGACATTTTTTAATGGCGGAAATGTATTCAAGAAATTCTAAAGTTTTTTTCTTTTCTTTTCAGAAATATTCCCAAGAGATTTGAACTTAAAAGACAAATTCATAAAGCATTTCACCGGTAAGCATACAATTTATCAGTGATTTAATTAAATACAAAGATTGTATGCAGATTACTGTGTTAGGCACTGGGGATTTGAAGATTAATGTCTGTTAGAGGCTCAGTTTTTATGTCCAGTTGGGGAAATGGACATGTGCTATTAACTTGTATTAACTGTAATGTAAGCCAGATCTTGATAAGTAATAAAAGTACAAACAAAGTTTTAGGGCTACACAGGAAGTGAGTAACTTGGCCAATAAATAAAGGCTTGTAGTGGATGTAATATTTAAGTTAGGCTTTAAGGAATGAATAAGGTTTTCCCAGGATGAGAGAGGCATTCTGGTGAGAAGGCATCCATTGAGCAGGGCGTGCTGGCACAGGGTGTGGTTTGGGGAGGGACGGGCAGGTGATGTGGACAGACTGTGGGGGAATTTAGGTAGGGATGTGTGTGACCGCTGGGCAAATATACATCTAGAAAGGCAGGCTGTCAATAATCTTTTTTTTTTTTGTCTGAAAATGGCTTTATTTTATTCAAGCACTTGAATCACAATTTGGCTAGTTGTGAAATTTTATGTTCAAATTTATTTTCTGTCAGAGTTTTGAAGACTTAAGCCATTCTTATAGCTTTCAATGTTACTATGAGAAATCTAATACCATTCTGACACCCGATCTGCTGTGTGTGGCCTCTGTTGTTCTCTACGGAAGGGTTTTGGATCGACTTCTCTCTCTGTCTCTCTCTCTCATCACCAATGTTCTGAAATTTCTTTATTATGCGCTTTAGTGGAGACCTTTTAAAAAAAAGTTTAAAAAATTTATTTCTAATTGATATGTAATAATCGTACATATTTATGGGATACAGTGTGATGTTTTGATATGTGTACATGTGTTTTGTACATGTATCACCTTAGACATTTGACATTTCTTTGATGAACAATCTTAAGTGGCATGCTGAGGAATTTAGACTGTGCTCCCCAGCCAGTCGGGGAAATAGAGGTTTTTCGAACAAGGGAGAGACAGACTTTCATATGCCACATCTTAAACACAAGTAAAAGACTCTCTCATCACACTGTTTTGTTCTTCATATCAAATTTGTGGATTAATCTCAAATCATCCTATGCCCCCAGTTCTAGTAAATCATTAAATTGTTCTGAACAGTGCGCCCGTGTTTACTATTGCTATATTTCCTGTTGCTGCTCTGTTCCCAGTCATCCCAGCTATCTTTTATTGTTTTACATCTCAGGCCTATAATGTGGGAAAGATGTGATTTTCCCACTTAATCAAATCCAAGGATCATATTTGTTTATTAACTTCAAAACGATGGTCATGAAGATCAAGTGGAGGTCCACCTGTGTCACGGGAAGTGAAGGCACCTGTTAGCGTGATTGTGGACCCTCTACTCCTACCACTTCCATAGAAAGCAGCTCCAAGTGGAGGGATAGAAGTTTTGATGGGGCTACCTTGGGTTTACGGGGAGAGATAAGGGAAGTCGCTCCTGCCCACTTTACAATAGTCCTTGACACAAATTATCGTAATGAGAAAATGGAATAAATGTCTTTGCATATAAACAATACTTCCTATTAAATAAAAAACTGGGGAACAGAAAGTAGAAAGCAAGAATATTTATTTTTTTATTCTTCACATCCACTTGATTTGCTCTCTCTCTACAGATTGTTCTTCAGTCTAGAGCTTTTCACTCCTAGTTATTCTAAAAAGTTCTGGTGAAAGTGAAGCTTCCATTATGTGAGGTGTTGAGAATGTGGAATGAATTTAGATTATTTTTCACAGATCACAACTGCCGCCTCCCACAGAGTCTGGGGAGGGGAAGAGTGCTCGGCAAGTTCTTTTAAGGGCATGGAAGGATGTAAACTGCAGTTATATTATCTTCGTCCATAAAGTGCCAGCAAATTTGTTTGGAAAACATGCCTGTGTTTATAATAAGCATTCTTTTCCTGTTCACTAGGGCCAGTCACATTTTCAGCTGAATGTAGCAAACATTTCCATCGACTCTATTACAATACCAGGGATTGCTCAATGCCAGCTTGTAAGTAGCTTGGGCAGTTTTGTGGTTTTTTTTTTTTTTTAAATCTTTAACAATAATTGCGTGTAATTTTAAACTTCAGCTGTCTGCAGATGGGAAATGTTAGACTAAACATTGTATGAGATGCTATTTATAACACTGACAGTACTTAAGATTTGTGTGTGCTGTTGAAACTATAAGGAATGAAAGCACATTCTAAGTAGGACTAGATCCAAATCTGAAAATAGCCAGATTTCCTTAAAGACCAACATCTTTGTCAAGATTTAAGTCTTTTATCATTATTCAAATTCCTTGGCATAAATAAGTTGCTCTCTTATATAAATGAAAAAAATAATGACTATGAAGCATAAGTCAAAATTTCTTCAATAGTTATTTTAAAGTAAATATTTTTTATGATGCATCACTTATACACTGGGTACTTGATTTTTCCATATAATGGTAGCTCAATGAATTCTTTTGAATACTTAAGTTACCAAAGTTAATATGATTTCAAACACACTATTTAAGTGTTGTTATTTAAAATACCCAAATTATGATTATGTGTGGTAAGTCAGTTGGCTGTTTTTAAATTCCTTTTTAAGCCTAAACTTGCCTTTTAAAGAAAATGAATCTTAAACATTTTGTTTCTTTTTAACTATATTGCTCATCTTAAGGAATATTTAATTTTACTCAGGATGTTGAGTCAGATTTGTTCTTGTTTTCTCAAAAACAACTTGTATTTAATAACTAGGGAAAATTAATTTCATTGGATTCAAGGCAAAATGACTAACTGTTAGCACAGCATGGCAGAGAAAGTGTAGGCTTTGGGATCAAACCGCTTACTAGCTATGAGACGATTAACATTTTGAGGTGCTGTTATCTCTAAAGTGAATATAGCACCTTCCTGATTGTGTTTTTAGGAGAATTAATGAGAAAATCCTTGTTATGCAATTGATATATTGGGTGCTTATTAAATTATAGCTATTGTTATATGAATTAGTAACAATAATTAACATGATTTTCCTCACATTTATAGTAACTGTATACATAATTCACCTTTAAATGTTTTTCCTAGATTACAAAAGATGTGCTAGATTGCTAACAAGATTAGCAGTGAGTCCAGTGTGCTCACAGACTTAGAAAACCTACCCTATGGGTATGTACTTATTTATTTTTCTTATCCGGTTTAATGGTCTTTCTTTCTTAAGAAAATTTTGAACAATGTAAGAAGCCAGGAAGCTAATCTCAGCAGTACCTAGTGAATTTAATCTGTAGATTTTTCACTTAATGTTAAAACTTGGTCTAAATGCACAGACTGTTCTTGTTTGTTTGTTTTTGTTTTTTTGGTGGCTGGCCGATATGGGGATCTGAACACTTGACCTTTGTGTTATCAGCACCATACTCTCCCAAGTGAGCCAGCAGCCAGCAAAATGCATAGGCTGGTTTATTGAATTAATCTTTTAAATGTCCTCAACAGTGATTTAATTAAGTAAAATAAATAGCTTTTTGGCAGCCTTATCAGCCCTGAGTGATATTTTTAATTAAAAATAATTTTTTTCTATTTTATTTATATTTGTTTTTGTGGGGTACTGTGTGGTGTTTCAATACATGCATATACTGTATAATGATTCACTTAGGGATGGTAGCATAGTTTTGATTTTTAAAAATCTTTCAACATTTGGTATTGTTTTATTATTGTGAAGAAATATTATATAGGTAGATGTTAGATGAATGTCTGTCTTTCTTTAACTGGCCAAAAGATATAATAAAATGAAACCAGGTCTTAATGCTTTGGTTGACACAGTGTAGGCAAGGAGCAGAGAGAAGGTACTGGAAGAGTAGAAGAAAAATCAAAGAATAGAAAATACAGTAAACATGTAATCATCATTTGCTCTAGCCTATTGCTTTACAAAAGTGAAATACTATTTCAGAATTTTTATTCTGGCTAAATCACCCTAGGAGCTCTAGGGCAATGAAGTATTTGTACAGTTCTAAATAAATTTAATGTACATTGTTATATCTATTTACAAAAGTAGAATCTATACAAAATTCTGGAAGATATTCATTTCTTTGCAGATATTTTTCTAACTAGTAGTTCTTTCCCATTGCAATACAAAGTCAACATTTTTGGGGGCAGCATTTCAGTACCACGGACAAGTCCCTTTACGGACACTGTGGTTTCTCAGGTTGTGAAGGTGTCAATGAGTGAGAGTCATAGAGAGTACCTGTAGTCTAGAAGGATCCTTGAATATCCTGAACTGGCCAGCGTAACTAAGTCTATCCCAAATAACCGCATGAGGATTTACTTAAACTGTCTCACAGGTTTGTCGTGACAATTACTGAGACAATCCTTGTTCTTATTTTAAAAGCTATTATTACAAATTAATGATAATAATTAGAACTGCTAGTTCTGCATATTTACAGTTGCTAAATTAAAAGTTCTCTCTTTTTTTAGATTAAGAAAATATGCTAGATCATTTCAGTATTCAGTAGCAAGATACTTGAATCAATTATTGTCAACCTGTCTCAAAACTATTTAATAATGCAGTAATGCAAACAAGGCATGAATAAATCAAGAAAATGTATTTGGCTATTGAAATGACCTATATCAAGCCATATTTGTCTTTTTTGTTGTTTTAAAATATATTTTATGTAAGTGAATAAATTTATGTGAAGTCCAGCAAACAACATAACTGGAAAAGTTTCCCCAAACAAGTACTGTATTGTAATTTAAAATATTGTATGTAAACTTACATTCCTCTGAGACTAATCCATAAAAGACAAAACTAATAAATATGTCTCTTTAACATTGCAGAGTTTAGAGATTTAGTGATTTCTTTTGTAGTTTTCTGTGATAGTATCTGTTTGTTATTATTTAACAAGATATTACAATCACAATATTACAGATTAATAAATTTTAAGAATATTTTATGAGTTATTTAGGTGATGTCAAGTTCATTTTTGGCATGTTTATATATCATAAAAGTTTAATAGGGAAATCATTTTATATCCCCAAAAGTATTGGTTAACTTACTCTTGTTCCACAAACACATTAGTCTGCATTTTTAAGAGTAGACTGTAAATGAAGATTCCACAAATCCTTTAAGCAAAATTAGGCAAAATATAGCTATTAAAACTCTACATATTTTTAAGTATGGTAAAAACCAGGTCACAAACATTTTTCTTCTCGCCTCCCTCCCCCTACAGGCATTTCTTAAGAATGCAAGTCTAATTGAAGAAAAAAGTGCCTGGAATCAGACTAAATGTAAAAAGAGATGAAGCATCTCGTTTTGTGGATATTAACATGAGTAATATAAAAGACTTCCCCAAAATAACTGATTAGCTGTGTCCTACCATAGAATGGAGGTTTTCTTGGTTTATCTTTGTGTATACAGTAATTTGTAATTTTTAAAAATGGTTTAAATCACATGTTGCAAATAGAATATTCAAAATTATGCTATTCTACTTTATTTTTGCTAGATATATTATTTTCTTATATGGTTAAAATTCCCTATTAAACATTTAATTGTGTAAATTATGTCTGAGAGTACTAGTAGGAAAGGATGACTTTTTTGTATATAACTTTTATTAATGTTTGTTAAATAATTATGTATGAAGTCCACTTTTATAATTCTTATTTAATAATATTTAAATTCGTTTATTCAGAATTTGTAATATTTATTTGCATTAATTTGAAATGTGAATTTTATTAAAACTGAAATATGAAAAATCTGTGTTTGTTTTAATTAAAGATATTTGTGGCAGAGGTTATGCTCTTGGAATATGATTACTGTGTATGTATGTATATAAATATTAATTTTCCGAATTGATAATTAGGATCCTGAGACAACTTCTATCTTTCGAAGTTAGAACATATGGTATCACTGTCTTAAATTTTTAAAAGTCCTGCTGTTCTTGGACTGGGGAGATGTACGTCAGGGAGTGAGAGGAATGTATGGGTTGCCCAGATGCTGTGTAGAATGTGACAAAATACCCTGATATGTTCAATTATTTTAATTTAAAAACAACAGTGAAAAAATCAGGGGCTGGCCCATTAGTTTAGTTGGCTAGAGCATGGTGTGGGTAATGCCAAGGTCAAGGGTTCTGATCCCCATACCCACCAGCTGCCAAAACAAAACAAAACAGAAAGTAAAAAGTCAGAAACTTACAACAGGGCAGTGGAAAACCCTCATCCTTTTAAAGAGCAGACAAAGCGTTAGTTGCTTGTTAATCACAGACAGTAGAATCATTGACTTTTTTTTTTTTTTTTCCTTTTTTTGTCTTTTTTTTTTTACTGACCGGCAACGGGATCGCAACCTTCGGTGTCGCGCCCGCACCACGCTCAGCCAGTGAGCGGGAACCGGTCTCCACATGGCATCCGAACCTTGGTGTCGCGCCCGCACCGCGCTCAGCCAGTGAGCGGGAACCGGTCTCCACATGGCATCCGAACCCTCGGCGGGAGCGCCACTGCGCTCCCAAGCGGCGCACTCTCCAGTGCGCCACCAGGCCGGCCCAGAATCATTGACTTTTTATCACCTTCCAACTGTTCATGTTGGTGTCATGAAGACACAGTATCTCTGTATCACATGCATCATCCATAACTGAGTGTGCTGTGTCTGTCTGTGCATGTAAACATACATACTTCTTTGTCCATCAGAAGAGCAAGCTCAGAAATGCCCTTTGGGGCCGGCCCGGTGGCGCACTGCGCTAGTGCGCCGCTTGGGAAGCGCGGCTGCGCTCCCGCCGAGGGTTCGGATCCCACATACAGACCGGTTCCCAATCACTGGCTGAGCGAGGCGCGGGGGCAACACCGAGGGTTGCGATCCCGTTGCCGGTCCCGGTCCGGTACGGGGGCGACACTGAGGGTTGCAATCCGTTGCCGGACATGGAAAAAGACAAAAAAATAAAAAAAATAGAAATGCCCTTTGGCTTCAGGAATATTATGAAGCTACATTTTTGCTTTTATTTGTTTCGGCCTGTGGGCAAAGATTTAAAAGTAATTATGTTTTAAAAACCTGGGGGAAAATGGAATTCTGCAATGCTATATAATAACGAATGAGAAGAATTAATGCTATGTAATAACGAATGAGAATACTATGTTTTTAGTTAGTTGTACTTATGGTAATTACAATATTTACTGCATTTGAAAAAATGAAGTAGTTTTTGCTTATAATTATGTAGAGAGCTGAGAGCTATTTTTATAGAAGTGAAGAGGCTATTGAATAATGACAGATAAGAACTTGTGGAGGAGACATATTTTGCTTAAACACAGAAAATAGCTTAAAGGGGTTTCATGGTTAGTATGGACTCAGTAAAGTATATTATTTCAGATGTAATTCTATGAAATTAGATTTTAAACATTTTCATAGATGACTAGTATGCCTCAGAAATATATTCAATGCTGTATATATATTTTTTAATCCACAAAGATTGATTAAACATATCTCCAGTTAAAATGATGTTTATTTTACCACATTTACTCATTTTCTCATTGCGTTAATTTTGACATAGTGGGGAATGAATAAAGAAACTTTCAATTTGTTGCCATAGAGAAAATTTTCTCACATGGAAAATAAGCGATTGAAAGGTGAGTAGGGTAAACACTCATGGTACTTAGTAAAGTAACATCCACACATCAGAGAAGTGACCTCATTGTCTAAGCAGCAAGCCAGAAGGTTAACAATGTTTCCTCCAGACTCTTTAGAGCTGGATCCACTAAGTGGGCTGTTCTCAGCGAGGCACTTAAGGGATTAGGCAGACAACCCGGTTAGGCTCTGAACTGTCTGAATGATTAGCATCCTTACACTTCACTCTCTAATGTACGTCCTGTGCTGTGAAAGGCAAGATGCAGTTACTGAAGCTGGCTCTTGAGAGCTCCTGGAAGGCAGGAAGTGTGCTTACATTTGGGGGTAGGGGGTGTATGTGTCATTGCTTTCTACATGTTGAAAAAAATGGATAACTGATTAGAAAATCTAACCCTATCTAAAGTAGCCTCCCCCCACATTTCGTTGCTTAATTTACTTCATATTATTTATCAGTCTAAGCAGTAATGATATTTGTTTGTTTCTTATCTCTCCATAATAAGTAAGGTTTGAAGGGAAGAGACTAACTTCTGAAGCATTTCTAGAGCCTAGAACAGTGCCTGACTCACAGTAGGTGCTTTGTGTAATAATAAAAGAATAAACAATTATCTCATAATCCAACGAACAAGATTAAAGAGCACATTTTCACTCATAATGAAAAGCAGACAATGATTTACAAAAAAATATTAAGGGATGGCTGATTAGCTCAGTTGGTTACAGCATGGTGCTGATAACGCCAGAGTCCAGGGTAGTTTGATCCCTGGACCAGTCAGCCGCCAAAAAAATAAAAATAAAAAAGTTAAAACACTACTGAGCAGTTTTCTAGTTACCCATTAAAACTTTTTTATGTTTGGGCTGGAGCTCAGCGAAGAGGAGGAGAGACCTACGGAGTTCATAAAGGCAGGAGAAAGTACGATTAGAGAAAGAAAAAGCTGCTCTGAGCATTTCAGGCCGCGGCTGCTTTAATGCTGGAGCTGCTGAGCGCATGGAGCTGCAGCTGTGCCGTTCAGATGGAGTTACTTGGAGGTGGCAGGAGAGAAAAGGGCCGTGGCAGCCCTCAGGACAGCAAGACCACTAATAGGGTTCACGTGGACCCACGCAGGAGCGAGGAGCCAGAACAACTGAAAAAATTGAGCCATTCAGAAGCTGGTGAGTCATCACAAGGGACCAGTGCAGGGCCCGTCCCATGGGAAGTGTTTGCAGCACGGGCAGTGGGGGAGACGGGCCCACCAGGGGAACACTGGGACACAGCAAGGACAGCTGATCTGCCCCCCAATCAGCACAGGACCACTCACAGGAGACTGGTCAGGAATGCAGAATTGCATGGGGTGCAGTTTGATGAAAAAACTCAAGCCCAGGTCAGAGATTCTACAGAACACAGATCCACCGGGTCTCTGGAGAGCCAGAAGTACCTATAAGGTCAACCATTAAACCCTAAGCTACACAAAAAGCCTTCCCTAGGGAAACAGCAGCAAAGTAGCAATTTAAACAACCATAAACTCAAGCACTGGTTCCCACAGGAAGTTCCCCCCATGTTAGAAGCAAAGGACAAAAAATTAGTTCCAGCCCCAGGCACACCACCAGCACCTTGGGGCCTGCCTGGGAACTGGAGGCTTGGATCTGGGGACCGGACCCCACTCCCACTTCCAGGCAAACTGCACCAGT